GCCCTGAGCGAAAGCCTTACAGGAACCTCGGCCCAGAGATCAATGCGACACCTCGGCCAATCCGCTGCTCAGGGCTGCCAGGGCCCTGTCGAGCTTCTGGGCGTCCAAGATCTCCTGCAAAGCAGCATGTAGACTTCGGAGCTTCTAGGGTTCAGGACTTTAGGGTTCAGGGTTATAGGCGTTGAGGGTCAGGGTTCAGATGGTTCAGGATTTAGGATTCAGGTTTCAGGGCTTAGGAGTTTGAGGTTGAGGAGTTAGGGCTCCCAGGGCTTCGGGCCTGAACTCACAAGCCGAAGCGACGGCAACTTGGCAACGACACCAAGGGTGCTATAAGGGTGCCATAAGGGTACACATTATGCAAGGGCACTACAAGGGTAATACATAAATGGCGCTACCGTTTTTCTGCTGGTCACTTCGAGACTGCGCTTTTATAGCAACCCATAAAGGTACCTCTGTAATACCGTTACAGTGCCCCTACAGCACTTATAATGTCCCGGTATTGTCCCTACAAAAATACAATACCCAGTGCCTTTATCAGTCCCTTATGGCATCCTTAAAATGCCCCGACAGTACCCTACTAGCCCAATGGCACCTTTCTAAACCCTCAACCCTACACCCTCCCTCAGCTAAGACTTACAAGTTATAAACCCTAAATCGTCAACCCTTACAACTTTCAAACTAGAAACCCTGAACCCTACAGCCCTAGAAACTTACGAACCCTAAGCCCTAAACCCTTAAGGCTTGAAAATACTGCCCGGCAGTACCCTTCTGCACTCTCAACCCCAGGCCCTGATAAACCCCAGACATCTCCACCCTTAAAACTTGAAAATTCCAAACCCTAACCCCTGGACCCTTACAAACCCCAAAAGATGAAACCGGTCCTCGTTGTCTGCCACCTGGCTCAAAGTCCTCAGATTGTGTCGCCGGAGCTAGGGTTAGGATTTAGGGTTTCGGGTTTAGGAAGGATTTTGGGCACATTATACGCCAGCACAGTTACTTCAGGGGCTTGAAGCGGACATTTGTTATAAGGGTAGTATAACGATAGGGGTAGCATAAGTTAGACTGTAAGGGTAAGGTACTCAAACATATATAGAAATATCTCTACATATGTATATATATATATATATGTATGTATATATGCGTATATATAAAGAATAACTATACTAATTGTAATCATAGTAATAATGATAATGATAATTTAGATAATCACTAATCCCTCGTCACGAATCCGTTCGAGTCTAGGGCCATTCTTGGGGTTTAGGATTTAGGGTCTAGGGGTTAAGCGGATAGGCATAGGGTTTGCCGGTAACATATCAGGAGGCAGGCCACGCCGAGGCCTTCTTCGCTTTGACGGTCTCAGGCAGCTCTTCCACAGGAGCCTGGACGGTGCTGCCCACGTGGAGACAAGAAATTCTGGGCAAAGGACAAACGAACTGCAGTGGCAGTAGTCGCCATGCTACTGTAAGGATGTTTGGTGGAGAAAACCTTCGATGATGCTGGTGGCAGCGCGGAGTGGCGATGATGTTGATGACAGTGATGACCGTGATGATGGAGATGAAGCGGTTGTGATGTCCTCGAAGCGTGGGCCTGGCGATGGCTACGACGGGAACGGGGTAAGGAAGTCCTTCCCTGCTCAAAGGATCCATACGAGGCTTCTGGAGCGGGTGGAGGACCGTTTGCCGATGCAGCAACATGATAAAAGGCAACTGCAGCAAGCTCCTTTTAAAAAAAAAAACCTAGCCTTCGTGATCACGGAGAGAAGGACAAAGATAAAGGATTGTGAAAGGGACGGTAGGCGTCCCGGTCACACGGTGGCGGTACTCGTGGTGAACGGAAACTCGCAATCATGCACTTGCGATGCACCTTCGACGCCAACGCTAGGGAGATGAACAGCAGCTGGGAGACTTGTGACTCCTGCGCTGATGTGCAGCGACAAGTACGAGAGCCTAGAAGCAATCAAAGGGTAAGGAAGGTACTTAAACCCGGCCGAACC